AGTAACAACTTGTTTGAGCTTCAAAACTACCAGAAGGACAGTAAGAATTTTCTTTTCGCAGTTTACAATATCATTGGTAAAATCGATATGATATCATGTATGAGAAAAAAACTCGAAAGCCTAAATTATTATTATACCGTTCAAAAAACGCTTAACGAAAAGAAATTACAAAAGGTCGATAACAGAAACAATAAAAATATACAATTTTTAGAAAACGAAAAAGTTTTTTTGGATGTGAACATGAATTATAGGGATAGACTTAAAAAAAAATGTGGTCTATCAAATTATGAAATTCGAACAGATGATTTGTCTAAGTTTGATGCAATGCATGACTTATTTGTTTATACAATAAATAGACTCCAACAATTCTTTTCAAATACCATATTAAGCACTCAAAAAAAAAATTCACGAATAACTGAAAAAGACCTAGTAGATACCGGCAAAATAACAAAAATGATACTCGAATCATGTCAAAGTATATCTTACATTCTTGTTTTCTTTAAAGCAAATAAGTTTAAAGATGACTTGAAAATATTCAACGTGTATTTTATGTTCTGCTTCGACTTTACGGAATACGCCAATACGCGTTGCATCAGTGCATTTCACGGTACCCCACATGCTAAGCATTTCAAGGAAGAGAGAGTGAATTGTTTATGGGAGTCGGTGAAAAACCTTTGGACGTATAATATATTCGTTACAACCACTCAGGTCCCGAAAATAAAAAACGACAAGTATTTAAGAAATAAAGATTGTATATACTATTACAGGAGCTATCTAACGACCCTCTATGATAGCATCAAACTATATGACAAAGAAATTGGCGTATGGACCACATATAGGTGGTTGAGCGGTAAATATTTTCTTACCGAAAATTTTGAAAACGTAAATATGAATGAGTTAAAATTGAAAAATATAAATATTAAAAACGTTACTATAAGTTTATCAGTTGCGTATCATGCTATATTACCGTGGCATTTGAACACGTTTCCAGTAGGCCTTCTCCATAATATGATATTACAGCATCTAGACAGAACGATGAATATGTACGTTTACCGATACGCGCTGATTATAGATTTGTATTTGAAGCGCACAAGTAGCAGAGTCAATTCTCACATTTTACAAAGCATACGAGATAGTGTTCGGTGGTATACGGACGGGACAGAATTGTTTTACAAATATCTTGATTTACCTTTGTTCACTGATAAAGACCCACAGAGTGAATCCTTACCATCTTTTGAAATAAAAACTATCATTTCTAGAATAAAACATCTAGATGATAACGGTAAAATAAGTATCAACGACGTCATTCCTAAAGACGTACAAGCCGATTTATTGAAGTGGTCCGAAACCGAACTTCCAGACAACGAAGACGAAAACCATCGATTCAACACAGCTATAAATACGAATTGCATGGACGCTATGGACTACATGAGTACATTCATTTCGATCGCAGTGAATTCTTTAGACATAAAATCCGAATTCTATCCTCCTTCTATTACGTACACCGAATACTGTCCGAAAAATATATTTAATGTTAAACCTGTCGAACACACCCAAAAGGGTATTTAAACTTAGTACTTATTTTATTTTTTAGAATTTATACTTATCTTTAGTTACGAGCTTAAATCTTTATTCACTGCGTATTTTCATATAAATTATTAACATTTTGAATGTCTTGTATACCTGATTATTGTTTGCATCTATATCTTCCACAAATGTAATATTATATCTTGATAAATCTAATGAACGACGAAAAATGTATGTAAATGTATGTAATTTTTTTAATTAACCAATGTCTTGATATCGGACAGCCGACACCGTCAACGTTACCGGTGAAACACACTCAGCGACGTCATCCGCGCTCGCGCGTCTTGTCGGCCGGGTTACTTTCGATTTCAGCACGTCCGCGCCGGCGGATCAATGAACCCAATCCACGTTAGTTGTTCTCTTTCACCGTTGCCGAGTACCTGCGGTCTACGTCGTACGTTATTCTTATCATTGTTGAATTATTCATCTAGCGCCAACCACCTTTCGTTAATTATTACGTTTACGATAATCAATTCTGCCGTTCACGTGTGTATATATTAATTTTCCATGTATTTATTTTTCGCGTACAATACGCATACATTCTCAATTACCGACATCCTTCGTTCCCATTATTTTTTACTCGGTCGCCTGGTCACCCGTCCCCGTTTTCCACAGGCGGGTCTACCGACGCAACCGGCTAATCCACTAGGTTTAGTTTTTCCGTAAGCCCTAACAGAAGTAGTTGGTGAAACCGGCATTTAGCTTCTAAACTACGTTA